TGGAAAACGATTAATCGATTATTAAATTAGTCATCGATTATTTTAATAATCGATTAGTCGTCGATAAATCGATTAATTGTGGCAGGCCTACTTTTGACTACAGCTTTTTGGTACGTTGAAGAAGCATTTTGTTTTTTTCTTGAACAGCCTTTGGAAACTTGTAGTAGGCTTTAGCTTTTTTGTTTTTGTTTTTAGCTACTGTTCTGCTATTTTTAGCTTTTAGCTACCCTTTACTTTTACTGCTACTGCTACTTTTAGCTTGCATTTTACTCATTTTAGCTTTTAACAAGCACTTTGATCCTGTTAGCTCTTTGCTATTGTTTTGCCATTTTTAACTTTAACAATCCAGTTTTAACAGCAGTCATTCAGCACACAAACATCCACACTATATTTTTTTACAGAGAACAGTTCTATTTTTCTATTTTTTACAGTGTTTTTGTTTTTTCATTTCAAGTCCATCTCCTTTCCTCCCCACTTGTCTTGTCCAGCATTTTGCTCCTCTTGACATGGGCTTTCTGTGACAGTTGTGAGCTACCTTGTGCGGGTTTTGAATTGTGTTCGTTTTGTGCAGAAATCTGTGTGTCAGAGTGGGTGTGCTGTGTAAAGCTGTATTCCTGTGTGTCTGGCAGAAAGTTATGTGCTCTTTTCTTATGTAAGCGGGTCTTGGCTGGGTAAAGCAAGCGTTCTAGCTTGGGGGATGCTGGCTCAGGTGGAGAGACGGAGACAGATGCTATTTTGGGAATATTGCACTCTTTCCATCTACCAAACGCATGAGTTATTCACTCACATGTGGTCTCTTGATTCTGAAGGGATAAAAAGACAAAAGAAAAGAGGGGTGATGGGCTGTGCTAGACAGCGGGTAAAATAAATATTGAACACGTCACCATTTTTCTCAGTAAATATATCACTAGAGGTGCTAACGACATGAAATTTTCACCAGATGTCGGTAGCAACCCAAGTGATCCATACATACAAAGAAATCAAACCATAAATATCCAGAAATGAAGTTATTTGTAATAATCTGGAATGGCACAGGGAAAAAGTATTGAACACACTTACTGAAATTTATCTAATACTTTGTACAAAAGCCTTTGTTGTCAATGACAGCTTCAAGACGCCTCCTGTATGGAGAAACTAGTGGCATGCATTGCTCAGGTGTGATTTTGGCCCATTTTTCCACACAAACAGTCTTCAAATCTTGAAGGTTTCGTGGACCTCTTCTATGAACTCTGATCTTTAGTTCTTTCCATAGATTTTCTGTTGGATTCAGGTCAGGTGATTGGCTGGGCCATTCCAGCAGCTTTAGTTTCTTTCTCTGAAACCAACTGAGAGTTTCCTTGGCTTTGTGTTTGGGCTCATTGTCTTGCTGAAATGTCCAGCCACGTTTCATCTTCATCATCCTGGTAGATGGAAGCAGATTTTTATCAAGAATGTCTCTGTACATTTTTCCACTCATCCTTCCTTCAATTATTTAAAGTTTGCCAGTACCATATGCTGAAAAACAGCCCCACACCATGATGTTCCCACCTCCAAACTTCACTGTTGGTGTGGTGTTTTTGGGCTGCTGTGCAGTGCCTTTTGACCTCCAAACATGATGTGTATTCTGGCATCCAAACAGTTCAWTGTTGGTCTCATCTGACCAGACTATATTCTCCCAGTATTACACAGGCTTGTTTAAATGTTGTGCAGCAAACTTTAAAGGAGCTTCAACATGCTGTTTCTTCAGCAGTGGAGTCTTGCGTGGTGAGTGTGCATACAGGCCATGGTGGTTCAGTGCATTAATTATTGTTTTCTTTGAAACAATCGTACCTGCTAATTCCAGGTGTTTCTGAAGCTCTCCACAAGTGGTCCTTGGCTCTTGGACAACTCTTCTGATAATTCTTTTCACTCCTCTGTCAGAAATCTTGTGAGGAGCACCTGGTCGTGGTCGGTTTATGGTGAAATAATGTTCTTTCCACTTCTGAATTATGGCCCCAACAGTGCTCACTGGAACCTTCAGAAGTTTAGACATTCTTCTGTAACCGATGCCATCATTATGCTTTGCAACAATAAGGTTGTGAAGGTCTTGAGAGAGCTCTTTACTTTTACCCATCATCAGATGGTTCTTGTGTGATACCTGGCCATCATTTGGGACTGAACCAGCTGATATTAACTTGCACTGACAAGGGGCAGGCTTGTTTTCTAATTACTGAGAGAGTTCAGCTCGTGTCTTGTCTTTCCATGCCTTTTTAAACCTCCCTTTCTTCATGTTTTCAATACTTTTTCCCTGTGCCATTCCACATTATTACAAATAACTTCATTTCTGGACATTTATGGTTTGATTTCTTTATATGTATGAATCACTTGGGTTGTTACGGACATCTGGTGAAAATTTCATGTCAATAGCACCTCTAGTAATACATTTACTGAGAAAAATGTTGACATGTTCAATACTTATTTTACCCACTGTATGTAGTGTGCTGACATTGGAAATAAAGAAAGCACTTTAGTTTCTTTAGTCTGTAAATATTGTCATATTTATTTGTTATCATTAGCTAATAAATTCTTCTTATGTAAAAAGTGCATACAAAACATATATTAATGAGTGTCTTTTCAGCATTAAGTTGATTTTTTTAATTTCTCATGAACCTGCATAGATTTGTAATTTTTTACTAGCTGTGCTGATTTGTCTCCCCCTCTTTCTGTCTATGTTTTACCTCTTTGTCCATCTCAGAGCATGGCACTGGCCTGGCTCCAGTCTCACCCGTCCTGCACCGTCCCGAGCCTCTTCAAACACCAGCGTACCCCTGTCAAACACTGCTGAACAGGACTGTGGAGACCATGCTGACTGGTACTTGGCGCCGGTCTGTGGGGCAGCAATCTGCGGTGCACGTAGTGAACCCCAGTGGGGTGACAGTTTGCGGGGTCCCCAGCGGGACTGTGGTCCTTGAGGCTCAGTATGACTACACCTACCGGGGAGCAGATGGGCGGCAAGTTTGTATAAGAGAGGGCGAACGGTTTGTTCTCCTGAAAAAGACAAATGCAGACTGGTGGCAGGTGAGAACATGTTTCTTTTTTTGTGGCTTTGCAGTCTGTGAAAATGTAAATTTAACAGAAAGGTGGATGTAGCTACTGCAAACTTTTGTACAATTTTGTCAACAAATAATAAAGCTTGTGAAGTGGTATGTTTTTAACATCTGCTAATGCCATGACAGGCCAAACCTGACATCACTAATTTGCTTTTTGTAGTATTTTAAGTTTCACCTTACATTTCATAAATGTGCCTTTGAGGCATGATTAAACATAGTATGCATAAAGTGGATCACATAAAACAGCAGGCAAAATATACATTTCTTAACTTTTTAGAAAGACACTTCACATTTCTTGTCATTTAAACATTTTCATAATAATAAAAGATAACCAGTTACTTTTATGAATCCACATGGAACAGAGATGTTCATTGTTTGGGTGTTATCCCTTTTATCTCAGCTCCACAGTTTAATGGTTTGGCTCCGATCTTCTGAACGTGGCTCTTCACAGGGCTCTGTGGTGCCCTCAGGTGTCCATCTGTGCATTAGCAACTAAATGTAATTGGGCCTTTTTTAGGAACAAAAAAAAGATGAAATAGTTTGTTTCTAATTCAGTTGCAACAAACTTTAGCTGTGAAATCTTAAAAGTTACCTTCCTTAAGCTGTGGCTACTTGATGCACACGATTATTTTAGTGATACTACAATTGAATTTGACTAATTTCTTACTATTTTGAGAGAAGTTTAAGTCCCCAACTAATTTCCATCCGCCTCACCCCATTGAGGTACTAACTTTTAGGGTTCTGTTTTTGTCATTTCTGCACTAACTTCAGCACTTGCTGCTGTCTACTTAGAGTAGATGGAAGAAAACATCAAACACACTCAGAGGTCTGTTCTTTGACAGGTACGAAGGATTGGAGCAGCCAGTAAAACAAAGCCATTGTATGTCCCTGCCACATACGTGACAGAGGTACCCATCACTCCAATGCCCTCACCCCAGCGCCTGGTCACATCAGTTTCACTGACCTCCAACATCAGGATACTACCCCGGGCGTCTCTGTCTCCCAGCCTCACAGGAACTGCTAGTAATGAAACCCATCAAGGTACCGCAATAAACTCTAAAATCCAAGAAAAACATTGGGTTGTTTTTTAAAAGTGGAGAAACATCAGTGAATATCTAGCTATTTGAAAGATAGGAAACAGTTTGCACAGATAAATGGAGTAAGATCTGAATTTTGTAACATAAGACGTGGAGTTCCTCAGGGTTCTGAACTTGGACCAAAGTTGTTTATACTGCATGTGAATGATTTGGTGTGTCAGAGTTTTTCAAATGTGTATTATTTGCAGATGATGCTACATTTTTTTTTGTTTGGGTAAAGATATAGAACGGATGTTGGAAAGGATGCAAATGAAATTTGTTAAAATACAAACTTGGTTTAGACTTAATAAGTTGTCATTAAATTTAGAGAAAACTAGTTATATGGTATTTAGTAATAGAAAGAAAACTATTGATGTTCCATTTAGAGTCGATGGGATCGAGATCTGTAAAGTCAGTGAGGTGAAGTTTTTGGGTGTAGTGATTGATGAAGGGCTGACATGGAGACCTCACATGAATTATTTAAGAACAAAGATGGCTAAATCTATTGCTGTATAAAGTAAGGGAGTTATTTATTGATAAAGCACTGTATATGTTGTATAGTGCAATAATAAGTCCACACCTGCTTTATTGTATTGAGGTCTGGGGGAAATCGTGTCAGACAATTACAAATCCTATTTTTTTTATTACAAAAAAGAGCTGTGAGAATTATTACTGGAAAACATTGTCGTCACCCATCAAATTCATTATTTTGTAAATTGAAAATATTGAAGTTCCTTTATTTGGTTGATTATTATATTCTACTGGTTATGTATCAGGCCCATAAAAACACATTACCTTTAAACATCCAAGTAAAATTTGTTAAGAGAAAGAGTTGTTATAACCTTAAAGGGACAGAGATATTTGTAAAACCCAAATTCAGAACTAGTTTGAAGGAACGGTGTACTTTAATTCAAGGAATAAAACTATGGAATAATTTGGGGAGTGATGTAAAAACTGCAGGATCATTATGTACATTTAAGAAAATGATAAAAGTTGTATTGCTAAAGAAATACAAAACAGTATAAAGTGTATCTATATAGAGTAAATTGTTGTTCTAGAGGGATTAGATGTTCTTGTGTTTTGTTTTGTTAATAACTTGTTTTTTTTTTGTTAAATGAACTTATTCTGGAAAAAAGGGGCAGATATAAGATATAAGATTTTTTTCTTCCCTCATTCCCTCATTTCATTTTATTTGTGATTTTGATATACACACATATATATATTTTTCTCTCATTTTTCATTTTTATTGTATATTGTATATAAAATTATTTGTTTTGTTTTAATGAAATGAATAAAAATTGTAACTGAAACTGAACTGAGAAACAAGTTCAGAACTGATCAGATACTTTTTTTGTCTTCCCACAGTGAACAAACCCTTCTATCACTCCATGGAAAACCTCAACTCCAGCAGTGCCTTCCAGAGGTCTGAGAAGAAAACCAGCGCAGGTGTAAACCGGTTCCCCACCCTCCCCCTCTCTGGATTCACCTTCACTTCAAATTCCTCCAACTCCCAATCAGGCCACCTCACCGTCCCTGGGTTCCCTGCAGCCCCCACGACCCAAACAGCATCATCAAATCCCAGAGTCGTCCCTATGATCACCCGGAGCCAGAGCTCCAGCAATCTGCCTGAAAACGTGATGGAGAACCCGTACGACGAGGTGGGGGGTGGTCTCGGCAGCCACATCAACCACAAGATCCCTAAGAAGTCTTGTAGCCAGTGGGACATGGTGGGGTCTTCAGGCAAAAACAACCATCTGCAGGTAAGCAGAGTCAAAATTGAACAAACTTACATTATTTTATGAAAACATTAGATTATAATTGGATACAGCAGAGGCACAAAGTGAAAGCTGGGGTCTCAGGATTTCATTTGTAAACCTGTAAAATGCTAATTTCTGTCATTTCTACCTGTCAACATCATATGAAACACAAGGAGCAATAATAATTATCTGTGTCAGTGTTCACTTGTGTCTTTTTTAGCTGAGAGAGAAACTAAAAACAGATGAGTTTTTCATTTTCATGTTGCCAACACTGCGTGATCACCTTGTTTTATAAGAAAACTTTAACAGCAAACGGTCAATTTAGCAGTTCAGCTTAATGTAAAACAATAGTTTTATAATTTATTTATTTATAACATTTATTGATTTCATTTAATTAAAAAAGCTATATACTCCATACACAATAGGAGAAAAAAATACAAATCACAAATAAAACAAAAGGCAGCAGAAAGAAGAAAAAATATCTTATATATTCCCCTTTTCCAAGGATAAATTCAAACAATAGTAATTTACAAAAACTTTTGAATTTTCTTTGTAAGCTGGTTTACATGTTCATCAATATTTCAGTCTAAAACAAAACCCCCAGTAATTTCAGCACTAACAAGTTTTTGCTCGGTGGTTGGGATCAGAAGAAGTTTCAATTTATGGTTCAGTGATTCCTAATCCTTTACTTTGTGGTGGCGTTGTGACGTCAGGTTGCAGAAAATGGGTCAAACAAATCCATCACATGCAGTTTGATGCTGAAGGAAGTGGGATTAGATTAATTTTGACTTCCTGTCACCGACAATCTCTAATCTCCAGGATTAACACGTCATACCTCAAAAATCGTAATAACCTAGTGTGTAGTTTTAACAAAACACTACGTGTCGTAGTAATCTTAGAAAACTAGATTTAAAAAAAAGCATGGTGAGGTTTCATTTTATGCTAATATTGAGGTGATTTGTGATCGTTTGCTGTTGGTTGGAAATCATTTTTATTATTCAACATTGTGTAAATGACAGGATTATTTCGATAGAGGACCAGTAATGTATTGCTATAAATAGAAAGAGGAAAAAAAAGGAAACTGGTGTGTTCGGGTTTAATTCTGCACAATGACTGACCTCAGAGCTGGCGAATGAAGCAGAATTTGATTTACACTTGTAGTTGTCCTTAATAATCCTCCTACAGCAGCAATCAAGTTAGAGTTGCGATGACGCCAGAGCTTCCTTACATTACATCAGAAAGGATTACACAAGGCCTTACTGGGAGAAATATTGAAGGTTATCCTTCTGCCAACTGAGGGGAACTCCCAGCGCTGAGTATCCCAACTGTCTCTCCAAATAGAGTTTTGTTTCCACTGAAGTGTGTGCACAAGTCATTTCTGACTGGGATTTCAGTGGAAATGACAGTCCTATTTTTTATAACTCACCTTCCTTTCTTTGTCTCTTCTGTTTCTCTTGGTTCAGAGAACTGTCTTCAGTTTTAAAACAGGCGGAATAATAAAGCCACCAATTCATCCCTGTTTGTCAAACAAAATAACACTCTGACCATCTGTAGATCATCTGAAGTGCTGTTCCTCTGCTCACGAATTTTAAAGCAGATTTATTCGGAGTTTTCAAGGAAAGATCATCAAATGAACACTTTTTTTGTTTTTCTGTTATTACTGCATGAGCACATCTTTATTATATGATGAACGTGTGCTGCTCATTTCCTGTCAAACTTCAAATGTTTGACTTTTCTCTGTGAAATTTACCTTAAAGGTTGTACACAATGTTGATGTGAGGGTTCAGTGCACATCATTTGAGGTCCTAAACTCAAACCATTTGAACAATATTAGAGTTTTTAAAATGTGTTTTTTACATTTCAGATGATTTTTATAACAAACATGCTACAAAACATAGAAAGCAACACAAAATACTGTAAAAGCAATACAAATGCATAGAATAAACTCAGTCAAATTCAGCCTATTGCAGTAAACCTACTGTATGTATCAGTCTAGCAGTAATTAAATACTATTTATTCTGCATTTCTGTATGTTTCACTTAACTTTCTGGTTTTATTTTTCCATGTAATTCCCAAATTAAGTTTTAAAATAGCACAAAAGCACATTTCACTTCTTCATCTTTTTGAACCTGTTGATAAAAACCAAGAGTTTTGATGCAAACTGTTGATCAAGACGCATCAGGTGACAAAAATGCAGCACTGCCACCTGGAGTAAAGATCTGTCATATTCATTGTCTTTATATGAGCAGCTTTAATATTAATCAGTGGATCGCCGAGCAGTTTGAAGACTGCTGGTTCGATCCCCCCAGCCTCACTACATGATGAAGTGTCCTTAGGCAGCCCTCCAGCATTGCACCTGACAGCTAGTCTATGTTTAATTGTAAAGAAAAAAACACTATATTTGTATAAAGAGTAAAAATAATAGTACCGTGTGAGTGTCTGTGTTTGACTGGTTGAATTTTATTGAACCTACATTTGGTAGAAAAGGTTTCATCGAACATTTCTTATCTTAAAGTCTGAGTTATGAAACAAGGATCAAGCAGCGAGCCGGTCAGTTCACGCTTATGGATTTATAGATCTTTTCTCTTGTAGCTGTGTGAGCTTTAGTGATCTCGATCAGGATGAGTGTGTGTTTCTGTAAGCTGTGTCTTAATCCAAAATCTGTCAGGTTATTATATAACAGAAGACTGTGGGACTTGTTCATACACCGTGGTCTCTGATGGCTCCTCTGTTTTACATGCTGTGACGGCTTCCTTTGTTCAAGTTACTGCTATTTGCATTTTGTTGTTTCTGATCTGCTCAGTTACTTTTGTTCACATGCTGTGACTAAGTTTTGCGTGCTGAGAACAAGATGATGTTATTTAAAGAATTTCAAACTACTCATCGGTCTAAATCAGAGGTGTCGAGTTCATTTTCACCGAGGGCCACATCAGCATTATGGTGACCCTCGAAGGACTGGTTATTAATTTAGACATATCTGCTTCGACTGAACACAAAATGTCACATTCCCTGTCTCATTGCTAAGACTGAGCACATCTAACAAACAATAACTGAGCTCTGAGTGGTATGTCCTGCATGGAAAAAGCATTTTAAAATGTCCTCATTTAAACACTGAACAGTACCGGGGTGCAATCCCCAGTTTGGACCTGGGGTCTTTCTGTGCAGAGTTTGCATGTTCTCCTCATGCTTGCGTGGGTTTTCTCCGGGTACTCCGATTTCTCCCTCCCTTCAAAAACATGTACGATAGGTTACCTTCAGGCCCTGCCTCCACTGAAAAAGAGATCTGCGATCTCAATGGGACTTGCCTGTTTGAATAATTGGTAAAATAAAATAACACTTCATGAATGACTGACTAAATGTGAAATGAATACTACAGAAATACTGTACTATTAAACTTTTAAGCCTCAAGGGGTTTTCTTGAATTTTTTTCTCAAAATACCATGCCGAAATGTAATTGAGTGTATCTCATTATTTACAAACTCTACTTAAATAATCTTGGTATCAAAATAAAGCAAACACTTGGGAGATTTAATCAGAAGTGTAAGTATTAAAACAGCTGCTGTGGTTTTAGAGATATTGGGGATGAAACACAATATTTTAATCTTTTTTCCTTTCTCACCTTAATAGTCTTTTATTAGACAGTATATAACCCATTTAAAACCACAATGAAGTAGGCTAAAACTCTTGGAATCCATAAATCCACTTATAGAAATTACCTGTGCAAAGATTCATGCTGCTAAAATTAACTGGAGCAAAGTTTCAGAGGTTTTAGTAAAGAAATAATTTTCCATTTTGTCATTCTGCACAGGACAGACCATTATGGTACCATTAATAAATGTTAAGAAATCTGAAGTTTTTACATTCAAATGTTATTTATTTTTTTCTTACTTGCCTTAAAAGACTTGTTATTGAATGTTTGTTCTTTTAAAAAATTATCCAAACATTTATTTGTCGCCATTCTGTAAATACTATATGAAATAATGAGAAATTATGTGTGACTACAGTTGGACCATATTCACTGAAAATCAAGTGAAAAAAAACTTTAAATACACTTTACAACATATTTAGGTATCTACTTTGACTTTATTTAAAAAATAACATCAAAAAATTTCCTTTACAGATTTGCTTGAATCTATTTACAGATTTGCAATGACGCCTTTTTGTACAGTTTGTTTACTTTCTGATTCAACTGCCTGTCCTTTGAACTGTGTTTAGTGAATATAAAAAACAGTTTCCGTGACCTTTTAGCCAAGATTATTAGCTTTCTTTTGATACCAAACATGTCAAGGTCCAACAGACAGATCTTAAGTTAAAAGAAATAGAAAATGGAAAAAGCTGTTTGCCCCCGGTACCGGGGGCTTGGGGCTCAGGAGGCAGGCCTATTATACAAAATTCACTTTTTGCATCTTTTTATACTTCAGTTTGGGTCTGTACTGCCTCTAGAAACAGTCCAAGTGCCAAAAAAGTACTCACAGCAGTTTTTTTTGGCAATATGTAAATGTTTTGTTAGTCTCAGCAAATGAGCTGTTTCAAAAACCTGGGCAACCTAGCGTCGCCTAACCCCGAATTTACACTAGATGTGGTTCCGCTCCGCTGCAGTCAGATGTTCTAATCTGTCCCTACCTAGCCCTCACCTGGGGTGGCTGCACTGCGCGCAGCCTGTCTACTACTGATGTACCATTGTGCATCTGCTTGTACTAGTAGCCATTTTCATGTATCTGAAGTTCTAACAAACTCTGTTAGGAGGGCGGAGCTAACTTAAACAAAGAGTTAAGAGGGCTTTGCCAACAGCAGCTTATTTGCATAGACAGGTCATTCTGAAAGGAGCTCAGAACAGGCAGAACTGACCAGGTGAAATCTCAATATCTGAAAGTGATTTTGTGTATTAAATCTAATATTTTAACCATAATTGGTCCCCTTTAAAAGTAAAAGCAAGAAAGTTTACTCACTGATGAGTTATAGTGAGTACCTGCCGTCTTGAGTTCTGAATTGGGGTAGTCGGTGTTGCTCCCACTTATAACATGGAATTCCCATGAGGTGCATTTGAGTTCACATTTATGACTTATAAGTGGGAAATTCCCACTTCCCAGTACAAATGGGGCCGCAGCGAAAGTAGCTGGTTATGTGGAGTTCTCGTGGGCCACATAAAATGTTGTGACGGGCCACATTTGGCCCACGGGCCTTGAGTTTGACATATGTGATCAAGATGAGTTGCAGATAAATAGATGCACTGATGCATCTCAGTAATCCAGGTAAAAAATCAAAAAGAAAAAAATTGTATAGGTCTTCTGGACGGGTTATTCTTCTAGAAAACACAGACAGGATTCCATGCAACCTTCAGGTGAAAATGAAGCCCCCAAACCCAGACCCAAACCAGTGGTGATTCCGTATGTTGCGGGTGTTTCGGAGAAACTGAGACGTTTATTTTCTAAACATGATATCCCAGTAGCTTTCAAACCCCAAACCACATTACGGCAAAGGCTGGTTCACCCCAAAGATCCGGTGCCCCGGCACAAACAGAGCAATGTTGTATATGCTGTTAAGTGCCAGGAGGACTGCGACCAGTTATACATCGGGGAAACAAAGCAACCACTGTTCAAAAGAATGTCCCAACACAGACGAGCTACATCTAATGGCCAGAACTCTGCAGTTTTCACTCATTTACAGGCCAGCGGTCACTCTTTCAGAGATGAGGATGTTCTCATTCTTGATAGAGAGGAACGTTGGTTTGAGAGAGGAGTAAAAGAAGCCATTTTTGTGAAGAAAGACCGTCCATCATTAAACAGAGGTGGAGGTCTCCGTTTTCAGTTGTCCCCCTCCTACAGCGCTGCCATTGCCAGTATCACTCCACCCCCTGTTAACAATAGGTGTTAATTAGGTGTCAACGATAGCCATGTGATGTGAGTATCAGTCACACGGAGGCAGGGCTTAAAAGCCTGAATTTTGCCTGAAACTCTCAGACTGAAGAAGTCTCTTGGAGGAGAGACGAAACGTTTCATTAGAGAAGAACCCGTCCAGAGGACCTATACAATTTTTTTCTTATAAATAGATGCATTGCAGATGATGTGGTGAGAACAGGAAACAGGTGGAAGAGAACTTGGAGAGGTTCCACTTGGAGGCAAGTGCAACAGTGAGGCAACAAGGGTCAGAGGTCACGCACTTAGGGTTGACTGTCCAGGAACACGGGAAGTGTGGTAAAGGAGAAGGAGAAAAGCTTTAGGACAGAGTGGGACAAAGAATGATGATTCTACACTTTTTTTTCTTATTTCTAACTTTTCTCTTGATTCTTTCTTCACACAAGGTCCCGACAGAAGGCTATCTGTCTCAGCTGTCATGGCAGGACTCCCCCATTTATACGGAGATGCAGCTGGAGAAGCGTCAGTTGCAGCCGGAGCCACCCAGCCCTGCTCCGAGTCAGCAGCCTCTTCAGATCATGGACATGTGGGAGCAGTACTCTGACCCGGCCACAGGTAGATGCTATTACGTCAATAGCATCACCAAAGAGAGGTCATGGAAGCCCCCTCGGCGGGCTCGCGCTCAAAGGAGCAGCCAGATAAACCGTTCAACACAACAGGTATTGATTCGCTGCTCTGCCTAAACCCATGCGCGCCCTCTCCTGACATAAAAACCATTAAACAAGAGAAGGTTGGCGGATAGTGAGCAGGATGAAAGCCTCTTTTTTCGGATGAGAGGCAGTGTCAGTGTGCAGAAAAAAGACGAGGCTCATATGGTTTGTTTGTATCAGCGTTAATGGGGACATTTTCACACAACTTTCCACAGAGATGGATAGTGTTTTTACTCTTTACTGCGACTCAAAGGCTTTGGGGACACACTGATCCCAGGACTGCTCTAATTCACGAGGGAAAACAGTTTGAACATACTTAATAAAAGGACTTATTGAAGAGTTTTAAATTAATAATGCTCCATTTTGTTTATAGTATGTAAGCATGTAAACACTCGCCGGGTTTTTAGGATTGGTGGTTATAAAATTCTTCCATATCAAAGTTTTATTAATTTTGGTGAACATGTAGTTGAATGTTTGTGTAGACGTATTTCTTGGAAATTAATGCTAAAATTTGCTGACATAATATTGGCATTTAAGTGTCTAAAACTTAGATCCGTTTTTGGCAGTTACTTCCTTCATCGTTGTTAATGATTGAAGCAAACTGTGAAGAAGGAGGAGTGTTTGGATTTTTTTTAATCTTTATGAAATAGTTTGAGAATTTATAGCCTTGCTGTGTTAAAAGAGAACAGAATCTAGTTTGGGTTTAATAGTCAAATGATAGTTATTTGGAATTTCTAATTTAATTCTTCTGAAGAAAAAATGTAATCTCATTCAGGAAGTCTTTTTTTAAGGAAGGAAACCAATCAAACAAAAGTTTTGGCTTTAATATTAGTTAAATAGGACTTTTCTGGTTCTTATTGCTACATCAAAATGTTTGGTTTAATAATAATCTTTTATTGTTTGATTTTTGTCTATTTATGTGTTTTATGCAGGCCAATCCGGTACAAAGTCAGACATTACCCCGGGACACCAGCCATCTGTCTCTGCCTCTGTCTGGACTCACACAAAGAGTAAATACTTTACCCACTTAAAAGACTGGGTCTCCTTACTGATCCAGTTTTATGTCATTTGAATTAGTCTAAATGATAAAAAAAATCATAAAGTGTGCAAAAAATTAGAGTATTATTTGCTGAGACATTTGAGTGACGTTTCATGACTTAAGTGATGAATTTTAGTAGTTTTGTTCACTAACAGTTTTTAGTTTTAGTAACGGGTGAGCAACAAGAAAAACACATTTCTACAGGGTTCCCACGGGTCCTTGAAATCCTTGAAAGTTTGTAAATTTGAAAAAAAAATATTTCAAGGCCCTGGAAAGTTTGTGAAAACAGCCAAAATTACACTTGTCCTAGAAAGTTCTTGGATGTTTTTGGGGGATTGAAGTTCTCTATTCACATGACTGATTTTCATCATCTTATAAAAAAATAAATTATAAAATTAAATAAACAAAAACATACATTTGTTGGAGTGGATAACTCAGGATTACGTTTTTCATTGAATTTACATGATATTAAACCTGTTTATTGGTTACATTCTGCTGTAGCAGTAGGTAGTTGCTGTTGCGTATGATTCTTTAATTTGAGGAAATTAGTACTGGAAATTCCTTGAAAGGTCCTTGAATTTGATGTTGACCAAGGTGTGGGAACCTTTTTTCTAATCAAATCAGTTCTTGATAATCATTTTGTTCTTCAGAAGTGTTTTTAGGGTTTTTAATGTTTAACTTATTGCTCTTTCTTCAGTGTAAATTATCAATGTTATGAAGTGTCTTTAAACAGAGACGACACACAACAGGGAAAACACATTTACAGCTGTCCACCTTTCTCGTGAATTTTTTTGTGTCACTGCCTCTTTATAGTTTCTGTGCTCTAAACTGAAGCAACAAGAAATTCACGTTTCCAGATAAAAAATAGAGATTAGATTCTTCTGGATAACTTGACAGTGTCCTCTGACACACAGGTCCTGTTTTTTATTTATTTTTTTGCGTATATATATTTTTAAGCTCAAATCGGGACACAACAAGCTAATGCCTGCTGAGCCGATGGAGAGAAGCAGAAACCATCAGGGCCTGAAACTCAGAAACTGGGTGTTTTACATCAGCAATGTTACAAAACCCAATCTAAACCATTTATTAGACTTTCACAACAAATCAAATCTTCTCCCAAGGCGTCTGCGTATTCAACTCTGTAGTACAAACTAGATCATTATCATGTCATCAAGATTACTTTTTAATAGGTTTATTTTACAAGCATGTTTCTGCCTTTTTAAATATGGATTCTGCAGTTTTAAATGTTTTAAGACTGTGAGTCTGTGACTGAAATTGATCCATTCACCAAATCGGTGATGGCATCTGCGAAGTACATCGACACAAGCTGCCTGATCCAGATTGCTCCAGATAAGCATTTTTACGTCTGAAAGCCACGTTGGCTCAGCGTTGCATCACCGTTTCAAATTTAATGTTGTTCATCAAAAAAAAGTGCCCGTCTGATCAAAGCAGCGATCCCACCCATCACGTCAGCTTGATGTGCGTTCTGTTGACCTATATGTGTCACTTTTTATTCTGCAGTACACGATGCATAATGCAAACTGCATACCTCACAGGTTTATAAACCAGGTGTGAAAACCCACGTGGCCCATTTTAGATTAGATTACATTTATTATTATTATTATTATTATTATTATTATTATTTTATTATTATTATGATTATTATTATTATTTTTATTAAATAACTTTTTGACTCCTTCCATTTTGGCTTCTGCATATTTCAACCCGCTACCTCAACTTGATCTTTTAGACAAAATAAAACTTTGTGACAGTTTTTTTTTTCAAAATTAAGGCGTTTTGTTTGTTTTGTGCAAATTCAAAATGACTGACATAAAGTAAAGATGTTATGGCTTATAACAAACTTTTTAGCTTTCAGATGACCTTTAGCAATAAAATCGTTCAGTAGGAAAGGCGAGGTCGTCCAAATGCTAACGTTTTTAAATGTTTTGCATCTTTAATGATTCTCCTACATGTGAGGAGTCATGTTTTCTGACTTACAGAGACAATAACAGATGTTGAGAAACAGCAAAAGTATGGAGGACGGAACCTTTCATAATTGGAAATAAATGTAGAAATATATAAATGCTTGAAAAACTAAATACATGGCTTAATAGAATAATAATGTGGCAAATTTAGCAACCAAACAATAAAAATATACTAACTTAACCAATTTATTTGATTAAACAGTGCAACCTTAATTAATATTTATCATTTTTAACAGTAATAATTTAACATTATCACAATTATTTCATTGTTGGTTTTATTTCCAGTCACATTTATACAAAAGACCATAAGAGAGCAAAGCAGTTTGCTCAAAAGTAACCGATGTTGTAATTAACAGGAACCGTGAGGTCAAGCTTGGGCCTGGAGGACCCAGTGTTTCAATGGGTTTTAATGGTTTACCAATTTAAACATATAAGTGCTGTTTATCTGAAGCGGTTTTGGCTTGTTTCCATTCATCTTGGTGGAACAGTGAAGAAAGGGTTTTTTTTGCTGACGATCCTCATCACTGAATTAAATCGAACCTGGTCAGTTTTTCTTTCTCTCGATCTAAACGTGTCTTCCTGCACAGTTCATGCTAACAAAAGCGGTCGGGCAGTTGTCGATGTGGCAATGCAAGCCAAAAACGAATGATTCATGTGAGCACACACCTCCCTGTCATGCTGCTGTACATAAAACTGACAGCATGTGCCGATGAAGGCAGCTTCCCTCTAGAATGGGGAAGTAGACAGGGCTGCAGCCCGAGGGAGAGATATGCGTGTTTTTTTACGCTTTAAGATGTGCATCATGACATAAAACCACAGGAGGCTGAGGAGTTGAAGTCGACTGATAACAAACTGAAGGTGGCCTGAAGTTTTCTAACAGGGTGAACCGTCATAATGAGCACCTTCGCTGTGAGTTCATTTTGCTTTCCTTTTTGTTTGTGACGCTCGTTTTTGTTCTCTACCGTTAATGGTTTTGAATGAGCTCATTGAGTGCGGCTTGTTTTGTTATATCTGACTGTTGTGTTAATATCAGGCCTCTCGTATTGTGTTCTTTAAAATCAGAGGTGCTGACGGTGATTTAGAGCCAGAAAAGGCGGCCTGTTAAACACCCTAGAAATGTGTTTGAGTCAAACTAGAGTTTCGCTCTTACAAAGCAGCAAACCGCCTCTCGTTACCTTCGGATGAACGCGAGTGAGTGTATTCTGAGCCATGGACGTGAGTCAAAGGTGGCAGGATGTTAGAGGGTTTCAGTGCTGATGTGAGTTTTAGCCCCGAAACTCATCTCTAATGTGTCATATGTGTCAACATCCTGTTTTGCCTTTTTTACTTGGGTGTGAAATTAGCTCAAATTTGTGCTATCAAGGGGATAACTTACTGTTGAACAAATAAAACATTTTCACACAATTTGACAAAAGAAGAGTCTACACTTTCAGGTTAATAGAAAAATAAATGGGTTTGTCTTTAAAGGAACTACTGATCTGGTTCCTGTCTTCTCCTTTTCTCTAGGTGTCGCCTGATTTCCTCTTTGGGAGCCACCAAAGAAATTCTGACAGCGGCTGGCAGATGACCCAGGTACGTTTTTTTTTTTTTTTTTTTTTTTTTTTTTTTTTTTTTTTTTTTTTTTTTTTTTGTCATCCGATCCACTCCACTTCACCTTGACTCTCACCTGAAAGAGTCAAAGACAAAGGCTCCCTTTACCAGTTTTACATATTCTCCCTCTACAGCAGAATGCATTTGCCTACAAAACACGACATCACAGACCTCTGGTGACTTTATTTGCCACCTTGACTTTGTCACGGCATCAGATAAACTCCTGCCTTATCATACGTACATCTACCTCCTACACAAAGATAAAAAGATACCTTTAACTGACAAACCCTTCCATTGTTTTTTATTTTTATTTTTTTTGGTTGTGCGCCTTCCTCTGTAGCTAATCCTAAGAGTTCTGTTGTTGCTCAAAGGGCTTTTGATAGAAAGGCCTTTACCCCATGAAAATCAAAGAACTCACTTATTTAAATTTTGCTAAACCTGCATCTTCACTGTATTACTGTAGAATACATTAAAGTAATGCCAGCTATGCTCATTAGATTCTCAGCCATCAGCGTTTATGCATATTAAGGTGGTGAAACAGCAACTCATGGTGTATAGAGAAAGCCTGTTACCCAAGCAGTTCTTACTGCAACATGTTGCGTCACAGTGGGGTGTGGGTATACTCGGTTTAAAGCCTTTTTTTTAAAGGCCTGCTCTTTGCAGAAAAAAAGAAAAACACAGCAGATTTGGCTCTCAGAGAGCTAATCCTCCTTGCATGAAGAGATGCAAGCTTTAGTGAGGATCTTTAGTCTGATTGTTAAATCTGGGATACGGGGACTGGGAGCCCAATTTTGGCATTTTGATGCACGAGAAGTTGAAGTTGTTTAAGTTTCTGCATGTGCGTGTAGTTTGACACAGTTCAATGTACATGCCTGGAACTGGAAGCACAAAAAGCTACCCATGCAAAGTGTGAATATGCTGTGCACCCGTGTGCGTCTGAAGCTCTGCGCTGTACCTCCGCTGTAAACCAGCGTGTCTCCATCTGTCATTGTAAAGAGTTCAGTCTAGACACGACTGCGTTGCCGCTCTTCCTCAAAAACGAATTATTTTTAAAAATGTTCAATCTCTTTCTGGCTTAATCTGACTGAACAGATGGTTTCTTGGTGGCTTCGGCTCTGCAGAAAACACCAAAGTGGATAATAAAACTGGTTAGATAAACAGCAGTGAGCTTTGTAAGAGATAAAGCAGAATTAAGTTTTAATCCAGTTTATTACACAGTTCTCAACAAAAGTCACCTCTGGGCGTTTTGGTGAAGAAGTAAATGAAGGCAAGAAAATACATTTAAGTTACACTTTGATTTGGTCCAATACAAATAAGAATGGTTTTCTTGTGGGGAAAAAATGGATTCAGTGAAACTTGTGGGCAACATTACATCTTCAATTTTATTTAAAACCCAATCTGAGACATTCATGGGATAAAGAGCAACACTGGAGAACCATATTCAAGTGTCTCCAGCAGAACTTAAAGTGCCTGTGACATGCATATTCTTCAAATACAAAAAATGAAAGAAAACATCTTTATATTTAAGAAAGTTGGTGCAATACACACAATTTTACCCATTTTGTCCCATAATTGGCATATTTTCTTTTGAACTTGGCTCAGCCAAAGTGAAACAGGAAGTGACATCAAAGGGGAACCCTTTAACAAAGAAAACTCTCTGGTCTTTGTTTATTGAAACAATATTATTTGAACTCTGACAATTCTTCATCTCTGATAGTGACTCAAAATAATCTAAAGAAACATCAGATTCTTCTCCACAGTCTGGGTTGTTGGCTGTTATAGCAACACTCTGTTCACATGCAGACATTCCCCTTTGACATCACTTCCTGTTACTTCACAGGCAAATATTTCGAAAACTGTTCATCTCAGCGACATGAAATTTATTTTGCAATATTTTATCAATGTCCTCTTTCTAAAAATGCATTCGCATGTATTACAAAAATTTGATGTCACAGGCACTTTAAGGATGTGTACATCTGGTTTGAGAGAGGAGTAAAGGAAGCCATCTTTGTGAAGAAAAACCGTCCACCATTAAACAGAGGTGGAGGCCTTCACGTCCAGTTGTCCTCCTCCTACAACGCTGTTATTGCAAGTATGACTCAGCCCCCTGTGAGCAAAAGGTGTGAATCAGGGCTCCAACGATAGTCAGGTGATGGGCCCCTCTATGAACAATAGAGCCAATCAAGGCACTAACGACCTATTGTTTGGCTGATGATCCTCTTTTGCATGTGAACGACCTGTGTGTCCATGTGGAGGCAGTGCTTATAAGGCTGAGTTCACCTGAAACTCATCAGACTGAAGAAGTCTCTTGGAGGAGAGATGAAACGTTTCACTAAAGAAGAACCCATCCAGAGGACCTACTTATTTTTCTTTTTGATTATTTTACCTGGATTACTGAGATGCATCAGGACGATGTGGACATCTGCCTCCTCAAATCTACATGAAAGAAGCCTGAATGCTTTCTCTTTTATTCCACCTTTAAAAACTTTAGCAAACTAAGAGCGATGTACTGTAACTGTGCAACCTTTTATACACAATAAAGTTTCTTCTTCATACATGTCAGGTGAAAATATTAGAATGACATTCTACATTTCAGAGGTAGCAATTTGGGAGAAGCTAAAACCAGAAAATTATTAAATCTCTCCTGCTAATTCTCATCAAAACTCTCCCTACAGCATTTTAGACCAGCTGGAGGGTTTTCAAAGACTCTCTACTGTCTAACTGAGAAAGAGGGTACAAAGTGGTTTTTGTGTATCACTCTGGGACAGGATGTCCTTGAAACCTACTTCATGATGAAAACTACTGCAGGTGACACTCGTGCTACAAGTAAAAAAGTGTGTTTCAAGAGAATTTCAGTGCAGGTATTTTTATCTGTGAAACAGAAATTTGTGTGCTAACCGGTTGATTGGTTTCATCAGAATTCACAGTTAAGCAAAGGTCAATTTTATCTGCAGTTCAATGAAAAGGTTTTCCCTGCTGTCTATAATGTTACCTGATGTAACAGAACAAGATTGGGCCAAGCATAGAACCCTGCGGAACTCCAAAACTGACTGTTGTCAGAATAATTGGAGTTTGTCAGATAAATATTTAAACACTATGCTTTATCTTAATCTCAGATTCAGGTTTAGATGCAACACTTTTCTCCAAATGTACGCAAGTTACTTGTTTAAGGCTGTTAGGAGATTGTTGAAGACTTACTTTCATTAGAGCTGTTTCTGTGCATTTTTTTCTTGCTAGTGGTGTCACTTATCACATTAACCTCAGGTGATAATGATGTGATAGTGCATTTATCTGTCATATATTTAATGTTTATGAAGAAAGATGAAGTTTTATAGAATTAGTGTTACTTAATTCATCTTACAAATTTTGTTTTTTATTTCTCAGAATAAGAGAATGCTACATTTTTTGAAGAGCTGATGTTAAAACTCCTTCAGAATAAACCAAACAAGTATTATTATCTTTTTATGCCACAAAGTTCAATCAACCATTGTCCTTTTAAAACTTCATTTGTTTTTTTCACCTTTACTATTTAACCTTTAGCGTGCCGCCTCCTCTGAGACCTTGAGCACGATGGCGTTCGCCAACACCGACGCTCCGTGCTACAGCTCTTCACCCCTGCGCGGCAACCAGCAGCAGCTCAGTCACTCACAGTCTGTGAACAGCCAGGTATCCGGGGCACACACACTCATTAACCATGCAACGTGGAAGAGGACTTTTCACACGTACTGAAACTCAGATTGCGCCCTGTTTGTTCTGCAGTTGGCTCGGCAGCACAGCGATTACTCCTGCAATGTGACAAACATTGTCGTTGAGCCTCCGTCTCCCGCGAGCTCTCCAGACAGTGAAGGCGGCACACCGGTGAGAGAAATACTACTTTAAAAAAAGATGCATGGATAAATGGAAAGTGTTGTGAACAGTGTTGTATAAAGTACCACAAAGTGATACTTGAGTAAAAGTACAAGTATCTTACCAAAAATTTACTTTAGTAAAAGTTAAAGCCTCCTTTAGAAATATTACTTGAGTAAAAGAAAGTATCTGATATTTTTTGTACTTAAGTATTAAAAGAAAGAGTATTGATTTAAAATAAGCAGTTAGATTTTCTGTAAGGACATTTATTAGGAAAAAATGCTGAAATGACTGTATTGTATTAAAACAATTAATTTATGTTAAATTTGGGATGCACTAGTCCAGCTGTTTCAGTTTATATACATATATCAAAGCTGCACAAACCTTTTCTCCAAAATAAAAATCTATCCGAGGGCTGCGGCCAAATGCAGTAATATAATTCATGAAATACAAATACTTCCTAAGTACAGTCCTTTTATTTTAATGATTATGTCCTGCTGGAGTGTGACATAATTTGTTTGTGTACAAACTAATATGGTATCTGAATTTGATATATTTATACTTCTATTTCAACCACAATTAAATTCACTCTATAGGAGACACAGTTTATCAGGAGGATTTTTTAAGTAATAATAACTCAGAATAAAAYAGGAGTAACGACTTTCTACTTCTTACCTTTTTAAAAAACGTAATGAGTAGAAAGTACAGATAATTGTTTGAAAATTTAAGAAGTTGAAGTAAAAAGTAGACTGAAAAATAATTACTCAGATACCCAAAAATTCTACTTAAGTACAGTAAAGAAATATTTGTACTTAGTTACTTTACAGCTCTGGTTGTGAATATCAAGCATCATGAGTGGTTAGAGCTGTCGCCTCGGAGCAAGAAGGTTGCAGGTTCACCAACAGACTGGAACCTCTACATTGTCACTGTGTGTGTGAGAGGGTGAATGGTTCTTTGTGGCCCTGTGATGAACTGACCTGTTCAGGGAGTAGCCCAATCACAGGAAATAGCCACCAGCCCCCTGTGACCCTGTACAGAAAAGCAGGTAAATAAAATAAATGGATGGATGCGAAATTCCTCAAAAAAGTGTTCCCTTCAAAATCAATAAAAGTTGTACTTTTTTACAAAATGATGTATTATAATTTGGTGTCTTTTGTAGAAAAATGTGTGTCCTCTCTGACACTTTTCCAGTCTTCCCTTTAGCTAATTTTGTTGATCAAAAGATGATTATAAATGATTATATTTATGATTATCAAATTCTCTAAAATATTCTAAAAGATGCACATCTATGAGTTATTATACTTTTTAACTTTTCACTAGCTAAAGTAAAATAAATCACTTCACCATTGGATGTGTCAGACTTCCTAAACAAACACTCGTATCTTTGTCGTTGGATATTTCACATTTTTTCCCTTCAACTTGTTCCTCTCTGCTTTCATTTACTGTAACACTTACAGTATAGCTTCAAAGCGAGTAATAAATGTCTCGCACCTTAAACGGGGCCATACCGCAGTGGGAGATTTCAGAGCCCTTCCCCTCTTGCTAGTTTTCTTTTTTTTTTTCTTTTTGAATGATGCAACTGTCAGGTTAAATGCCTTTAGGATGCAGTATATTTCTCTGAGGAAAAGCCCTCACTGATACTATATTTAAACATGTCCTTACAGCTTCACATTTATGAAGTGATTGAATTCGAAAAATTAGTCTGTGTTCTGAGTGCGTTTTTTTGTTGTTATTGTTCCAGGAGCTGGAAAAAGCCGGACTCTTGAACAAGACAAAGATAGCGGAAGGAGGCAGAAAACTGAGGTGAACCTACAACGGAGCTTGGTTTTCATTTCATCTTTGCAAATAAAATACGATAATTGTCACTGCCTGGGCTAAATACAAACCAGAACATGTGTTTCTGTTGGGTTGCAGGAAGAACTGGAGTCCATCGTGGGTGGTGTTAGTTGGGAACAGTCTGGTTTTCTTTAAAGATCCCAAATCACAAACACCTTCCAGCTGGGTAAGAAAAACTGAGGATTTTACTTAATAAAGCAAATTCTGTTCATTCAGTCATAAAGAGAATAAATGAGTTACCGGTACTTACATATAAAATCAAATGTTATAGGGTATGATTTAGTATGAAAATGTGAATTATTTGAGAGTTGAATATTTTTGAACATCACCTCATGTTTTTCAGTTTGCTAGGAGCTTTTAGTAAAAAAAAAAAAAAAAAGCCAAAAACTTCACATTTATTATCCTTCACCTTATTTTCACTGATATTTCAGAAAGATGACATCCATCTTTTTCATTGCTCAAAAACCCGGTGGCACATGTCTGCTGTGGGTGTCGTGTGCAGTAGATAGTCGTCATCAATTGTCGTAGATCAAATGGGGGCAAAATGGCGCTCCAAATAAAGTTGTTTTTATTTAATACACCTACTTCAAACCACACATGTGGGTCAAGCATGTCAGTGGAGCGGCGAGGAAAGTGACAAATTGTGTTTTGTGTTCATGTTGATCAAACTCAGAAACCAGGAAACAGTCGTCCAGAGAGTAGCGTGGATTTAAGAGGAGCACACCTGAACTGGGCCAACGAGCTGTCCAGCAAGAAAAATGTTTTTAAGGTACGAAACAGAAACACAAAACATAAAACATGTAAAGCCTGGGGTTTGTTGAAGGAATGCATATCGCTCACTGCTGTTGAGAAATGGTTACAATTGTTTTGGTCAAATCTTGAAGATAATATTACGCTCAGTTTGATATGATAATGCAGCATGATCTGTTTGTGCTTGGAGCAGCTGTGGTGGCCATCTTGAATTTGGTTGAGTTCATAGATTAATCAGTGACCTACACGCACACACATCAACTACTAAACATTAGCGTATTTTACCTTTTGTGGTGGAGCTAAATTTGGGGCACCTATCACACAACTGAAAGGAAATTTGTGGTATGAAAATATCAAGACATTTGACATTTTTATTACAAACCACGTGTCGTGAATGTAAATTTTTACATATATTTTATTTGTTTTAAAGGGGGTATTATGTATTTTCCAGGTACATAGTTCAATTCTATACCACGATCAAGTAACTGTGTTACCTTCAGTTGTTATGAAAACGTTGTATATATCAAAAATAAATTGGTCTCTACTTTTTTTAAGAACATCCTACCATTTCTGACTCTACCACTTCAGCACATCCTCACAACAATGCTTCGGGGGAGGGGGTGCTCTGTGGGGTGGGAGCTCGGCTAGGACTGAGCTCCAGAGAGGCGCTTTGGAAAATTAGGCGGTGCTTTGTACCAGCAAGCGTTTAGGCAGCTCCCCATGGCAATCCATGGAGATTCAAGGATTTCACAAACATGCACGAGTGAGTCAAAGCAACACTCTGTGTGTTTTTGAACAGGGAATGACATAATATGATGTAAAGCTCAAAAAGATTATTTTGCATAATACACCACCCCCCCAGGTTTAATTGTTAGTGTGTTTGGTGTGTTTCAATATGAAAACTATCAAAACAAAAAAACCGTAAATTCTATTGGAAAATACAGTGGGTAAAATAAGTATTGAACACGTCACCATTTTTCTCAGTAAATATATTACTAGAGGTGCTAATGACATGAAATTTTCACCAGATGTCGGTAACAACCCTGATATGGATTCCTCCAAGTCCATCTCCCACTTGCCCTTCAAAGAATCTAAATTGGAGTCAGAAAATGAACTGAGCAGAGA